TAATATAAATTGGATCGATAAAAATGGTAGAAAAAAATTAAAAGAAATTTTAATTTTACACAAATGATTGAAAAAGCAACTAGGATTACTAAGACATCTCAAACGCTTATTGATCTAGTTTTTACTAACAAAGCTGAGCGTATTGGTAAAGTTTATAATTTAATAACAGGTCTTTCTGATCATAATTTAACATTAGTTGCAAGGAAATTGTCAAAAATGCGCTACCGAAATTTAAATAAGGTTAATATTAATGATTCTGTACTGTATATCCCCAGGAAAGATGTTGAGAGGTTTGACAATGAAATGAGAAAGGTAAATTGGTTGGAAATGATAAATGATAAAGACAGTAATACAGCTTCTAGTGAGTTGATAAAGATGTTCCAACAGCTTGTTTTTAAATATTCTAAAGAAAAAAAGGTAAAGCCTAAAGGCAAAATTCCTTTACCTTGGTTAAATGATAATCTATGGAAATTGATGAGAACTTGAGATTCAGCATTAAAAAAGTCCCATAAAACGGGACTTACAACTGATCGCCTGATCTATAAGGGACTTTGAAATAGTCACTCAACAGCTAAGACAAGCAAAAGCAATGTTTTATCTGAATATAATTAAACAAGCTAAGGGTAACTCTAGAGAACTTTGGCAAACTATAGACAAATTAACTGGAAAGATGCAAATAAGAGCGGAGTTATAGAGCTGAAAATAGATGATGAAAACCACAAGGATGGACTAACAGTTTCAAACTATTTTAATGATTATTTTATTGATTCAGTGAATGAAATTATTCAACATGCCTCTGGATTACTTCATTCTTGTTCATTACCTCAGCCTCCTATTAACGACCATGAGGCTCTGTGTTTTAAACACATTGATTATTCTAAAACAGATAAAATAATACAATCCTTATCTAATTCAAAAGCAAAATATTTTTGGGGAATTGATAGCTCTTTCATTGAAAAACATAGGGAGATTTTAACACCAGTTATTACATATATTGTGAATAAATCTATTGATGAGAGTATCTTCCCCAGTATCTTTAAAACAGCAGTTATAACCCCAATATACAAATCCGGAAGCAAAAACGAAATAAGCAACTACAGGCCAATTAGCATAATGCCTGTAGCATCTAAAATTCTTGAGAAAGCCATCATAGAGCAGCTAACCGATCACTTAGACTGTAATAATCTGTTGCACTCCATGCAGTTTGGCTTCAGACGCAATCATTCCGCCGACGCAGCCTGCTGCTATCTGATGGAAAGCATAAAGGCTAGCTTGGACAGAGGGGGCACGGTGGGTGCCGTGTTTCTGGACTTACGAAAAGCCTTTGACACGGTAAACCACGGTGTCCTCCTGTCTAAGCTCTCTAAGTATAATCTGTCAATGGACACACTGCATTGGATACGATCATATCTTGCAAATCGGATGCAATGTGTGAGGGTGAAAAATCTATTGTCCTCTCTGAAGCCCAGCACAACTGGGGTCCCGCAAGGATCAAATCTGGGACCCTTGTTGTTCAGTATTTACATCAATGATCTCCCGGCTGTGTGCATCATGTACGCAGATGATGCTGTCATCTACGTACATGGGAGGGATATGGAGCAAGTAGCCACTAAATTGTCCTCAGCTATGGACAAAATAAGTAACTGGCTAAAATCTTTTTGCTTAACACTAAATACTGAAAAAAATGTTGGAATGTATTTCGCTAAGTCTAAAAAATTTTAAGATATGCCTAACATCTATTTTAATGGACAAAAAATTACCATCGTGACAGAGACTAAATATTTAGGTGTCCATTTAGATCAAACTTTAAGTTTTAAAAAACATATTAAAAAAATGTCTAACTCCATTAAATATAACATTTCTATTTTCAAACATATTAGGAATAGTTTGACAATTGAAGCATCTTTCATGTATTTTAATGCCATGATTTCTTCACACATCACCTATTGTTTGTCCTGTTGGTCACAGGCCAACGAGACCACACTTAAACCGCTCAGATCAGGCGTTAAAGGTGCTTGACAGAAAAGCCCCTCGCTATCATCATTGCAGTATTTTAAGTAAATATAAAGTATTAATTTTTGACTCCCTAATTCGATGTACAAATTTGAGAACTGTTTTTAAAATTGTTAATAATATTGCTCCACTCTCAATGAAAAAATTCATAAAACTTTATTCTGAACAAACGAACCGAACATCCCGGTCCACTGATCACAGAAATTGTGCTATCCCGAAAAGATCCTCCGCCTTTGCACAGACAGCTTTTTCATTTAAAAGTATTAAACAATGGAATCAACTTCCTAACAGTCTAAAGTTGTCTGAAGATTTGAATAATTTTTCTCAAAACTTAAAGAAACACATTCTTGATAACCAGCTGTGTCAGCATTAGCATATTTAAAATTTACAAATGTAATTTTAAAGTAAATGTTTTTGACTTTGTTGTATATATTATAGGCTGTGATGGTCTTTTGATTAGTTCTTTCATCTTGAACATCTGATTGTTTTTAAATGACCATTGTTGGACTAATATTATATGTACTTGCTAGTACTATTGATAGTTATTTTGTAATGTAATGTTGTACATATTGTGTGTACCTGCCCGGGGACTGCAGATGAAAATTAGCTTCGGCTAACTCTGGTACAAAACATCTTTTCGTAAGATTAATGTATTTTGTACGTTGTTGATTAACTTTTTTGATCACCTTCAAATGTTGTTTAAACATATACACACACAATGTTTCACTTGAATCCACTACCACAGCCCTCAACGAGCCCAACCACAGAGCTCAAAACATAGACCTTTCAAAGTCTATGATTGTAGCGCCACTTACCATTAAAAGGCAGCAAAGACACGTTCTTAATGACACAGAGCTCTAATCATGCCGGGGCAGTAAAAGTATTATTCTGGTTTAGAACCATCTGTAGCCTATTAATATATTAACAATGTAGAGACTGTATATAGACTATATACTAACTCTTTCCCAAATATTGATGGATATTTCCATCATTTGTGAGAGAAATACTTCCCTGCCATTGACAGAATTTTCTGGCTTTCCGTGTTTTCACTGTTATATGGTAGGGGGCGCTATTACACATCTTCTGAAACAGTACTGAATCTCCTGATCAAAACACCTGCGAAGAAGATGCAAAAACAAGCGATATCATATGCATATGTAAAATAACACAAACATCCACATTCCCCTTCAGCATTTTTGATAATTTTCACAAAAATGTCATGGCCCCCAGAATATTTTAACACGTAATAAATCAAAAAAAAAAAAAAAAACCTTTTCTGCTTTAAAGACAAAAAACTTTTATTCTAGCTTCATGCATTCTTGTTTTTTTATCAACACTTAAAAGTGGGTAAGTTTCATTAAAAAAAAGCAACATTTTGAGCAGAAAGCAGGCAAAATTGTGTTTTGTCAAAGATGGAGTAGATCGAGTCCATCAAGCTTTACAGTCCTGTTGCTCGTGCTGGATCACCATTTCATTCTTTAACATTAGGCAGTTTTGATTTATATGCTGTTTAATGTTGATGATCGCATTATTTTACATGTATATGATTACATATGCTATTGCTTGTGTCTGCATCTTCTTCGCCTGTGTTTTGATCAGGAGATTCTGTACTCTTTCAGAATATTGTAGTGTAGTAGCACCCCCTACCTTATAACAATGAAAACGCAGAAAGCCGTAAAAACGTTTTTGGCGGGAAGCACTTTCTCATAAAAGACCTGATAACTCGTCAATGACAGGGAAAGAGTTAAAAGGCATAAAAATATATGATCCGGATATATTTAAACATATAAAATCAAAACTGCCTAATGTTTCTGAATGAAATGTTGACCCAGGATGAACTACAGTGTGTTGGACTCGATCTACTCGATCTACTGTTTTGATCATCGGTCTGAATCTGATCCAGATGTAGTCTTTGACAAAAACATGATTTTTTTTCAGTTTTTTGCTCAAAATGTTGCTAAAAAACAACAACAACAAAAAACAGAAAAAAAAATCATGTTTTTGTCAAAGACTACATTTTTTTTTTTTTTTTTTTTTAAGCAGAGGTTCTGTCTTTTCATTTGATATATTGCATGTTCAGATATTTGTACAACAAAATATTATGGGGGCCATGACATTTTTGTGAAAATGGTCAAAAACACTGGCATTGGCTGGCAATTATTTTTTTTTATTTTTTTTATCGCTGAGGGGGAAAGCTAATATTTTGTTAATGGTTTGTTTATTACTGTATACTTATTATAATGTGTTACCTAAACTTTATTATGAAAATAACTAGTTTTTCAAGCATCAATTAAATGCTTTGGGTGTTACAACATTTTGCAGACAGCAGGGACGTGCACAGACATTTTGAGGGGCAGGGGCTCAAGTGAAAAAAAGGGCACTTCTCATAATTACGTATTTTTTTACTTTTTTTAAACAAAAAAGTATATATATTAACACAACTCTGACTTAAAAAATTCATTAAAAAAGTTCATTTTATCTTCCTCAAACTCAAGCAATTGTTTCATTTTCAAAAGATGTCTACAAAATAATCAGTTCACACAGAAACCATGGTCTCCTTAGTAGGTTTATATTCATAGGTTTATAGAGCAGCAAAGGATACCATGCCACAATGTGCATGTTTTCTAGGCTAGTAGTTTCAATCAAGTATATATTTGATACACCTGATGGTGACATGGACTTAGTTTCACATTTGAGGGAGGACTGTATCATCATCATCAAATAAAACCTTCAAAATCCACATTTAGATGGAGTTTGTTTTAAACCTATATCCTCCATCTGTTTGCATCTGTAGATTTCTTCTAAATTCACCAATTTAGATTTCTACATTTCAGGGGGAAAGACTCTTGATGTATGTAAGTCATTAACTGGGGACGTTCTGTGGTGATATGCTTTAGTTATTTTGTTTATCCTATTTTGTTTTGCTATTTTGTTTGACACCTGCATTGCCCTGTCAATTAGATGCAAACGTGCGCATTTTAACTAGTTTACAGGAATGTTGACAGGATTTTCGCTTTTAGTTCTTTTATCAGCTGCTCCAACTTTTTCATATCGAACTTTTTTGTCAGTTTCTGATTCTCCTGCTCTTGCTTCTGCATCTCCTCCTCCTTCAGTTCGAGCTCCTTTATCAGCTGCTTCACCTCCTTCAGTTCGAGCTTTTTTGTAAGTTTCTGATTCTCCTGCTCTTGCATCTGCATCTTCTCCTTCTTCAGTTCGAGATCCTTTATCAGTTTCTGATTCTCCTGCTCTTGCATCTGCATCTTCTCCTTCTTCAGTTCGAGCTCTTTTATCAGTTTCTGATTCTCCTGCTCTTGCTCCTGCATCTTCTCCTCCTTCAGTTCGAGGTCCTTTATCAGTTTCTGAGTCTCATACGCTTGCTTTTGCAGTATCTGGTTCTCCTGCTTTTGCTTTTGCAGCTGTTCCTCCTTCTGTTCAAGCTCCCTTTTCATATGCCATGTCCCTAGTAATATAACTGCAATCAATACAATAGCACACAAAATATATGGAAACTTTGCCAGGTTCATTCTGTCCTTCTCTGTCATTTCTGTTTGAGTTGTGTAAAACATCTCAGGTGTGTAATGCCTCATTCCATGCTGCCTCCTTAATGCATTCATCTTTTGCAGCAGTTCTGTAACCTGCTGTTGATTGTTTCTATCTTCATTGTTGAATGAGTGATATCTGCCACCACAACTTTCAACTATTTTCATTAAATTGTGGCTTTCCGTGATGTACTCCTCCAAAGATTTACCCTTCAGCAGATCAGTGTGAGTAAACAGAATGATGGTACGAAGCAAAGCCTCTTTTCCGAAGTTCTCCTGGATCCATTGCACTGAGTTCCTCTCCTCTTGTGTGAATCTCACTCCCAGTTTGAACACCAGCAGGAACACATGAGGACCAGGAGCAGACATCTCTACACACATCTCTATTTCAGCCTTCACTTGCTCTTCTGTGATAGACGTATTGAACAGTCCTGGAGTGTCGATTACAGTAATGGTCTTCCCATCCAAAACTCTTCCCTGTCTCTCACACATTTTACTGGCCTCTTTAAATGCATTCCTGCCCAGGATGGTGTTTCCAGTTGTGCTTTTTCCTACTCCAGTTTCACCCAGGAGCAAAATCCTTAGATCACCTGCTAAAAATAATTATAAACATTTTTTAAAATAAAAAATCATAATAAATTACATATTTTTATATTTCAAGGCAAACCATCCTCTCAATCCTCTCTGGAAACATGTATTTACACGGTTTACTGTGAAATCAATCATAAAGGTTACCCAGGTTGTTCAAAACACAGACACTTTTATTCATTTTTAAAATTTGCTTTGAGGTAGTCTCTTTTGGTGTGTGCCTTTTTAGGTTTCCATATAATTGTAAAGTCTCTTTTCTTTCTTCCAGACTCCCAGTCATTTTCTCTCAGTTTGCAAAGCTATGATTTGATCAGTTTGTAACAGTCACATATATAATCATTTCAATATCCTGTATGTGTTTACAAATTGTCTGCAAATTAGGGGTTGGTGCTGATTTCCCTCACACTTTGTGTGCTTGCTAAACTGTAAATAACTGTTCAATATGTTATTTATTTTTATTCTCCATGTATTAAATATTTATGTTGAATTGAAAGTATAATTAAGAAAAATTGTTGTTCCCTTTCGTAGTCACTCCTAGTTACGTCGGATGACGGAGAATGGGGGTTTCGCCAGAAAGCCTATCATCTTCGAGTATTAAAAAACGAACCAATGGCAAGAAATGCCTGGGTCTGCGGAATTCGCATAATGTATCTCCGCCCCACCGCGTGGGTATTTAAGGAGAGACACCTGCAACAGCAGATCATGTTTTCGCTTCGGAGCCAAGAGCATCTCTTCACTCCACAAGCCAAATCCTGAGTTTCTTCAGTGACTACATCTCTTCGAGACGAGCGAACTCTCCGGTGTTGGTGTGACGGCGGTATCCAGCGAGTTTCACATTGCCTGCGATCTGAGCAGTGGTCTGCCAGTCTGTGTGTTCTCCCTGGTTGCTTCAACATCCGCGGAGTATTTTCCTCTCACTAAAGAGCTGCACGCGGCACGTCTTTTTAAAGACGCGTCTTTCTAAAGACGATCTGCCCGTGTATTTCTGAGTGTGGTATTCTGATAGATTCAGCTGATGGGCGCGAGCGCTGTTTGAGTGTTTGGAACCCGCGTGGTCCCGGGTGAGTTCGCCGGCCCGCCCGCGGGCCCGCGGTCTCATTCGGTCCCCCGGCTGATGAAATCATGTATATCACCGCATCACAAGGTGAGCTGGAGTCCTCTAGAGATGATGGCTCGTCTGTGCTGCCGTCCTCGGATGTGCTAGCATAACGAGTTTGATCCAGAGTGCACAGCTATGCTTCCCGGGCTGCCGCGAGTATCGGGCTTGTGTGGAACCTTCTGCCATGTCCCGAGCACTTAAGGCTGATGATTGGTTTTTGGGGGTGGCGAACCCAAATCCTTTCTACCCGGACGTGCATGAAGAGATCATGAGATCGTGGAAGTCTCTTTTGACTTTTCGCGACTGCTCAGTGGCCTCTTCCGCCTTCTCTGCCCTTGTAGAGGCCGCTGCCTAGGGTACACTGGGGTTCCCCCTGTGGAGTGCTCTGTGGCAACACTTATGTGTCCCCACAGCGCCTCCACCTGGCGTGGCGACCCTAAGCACCCCTCCAATGCCTGTAGGTTCTTGTCTACTCCGGTGGCGGGGACCTATAGAGCTGCGGGGCAGGCTGCCACCTCACTGCGTGTTATTGCCATCCTTTTTGGTGTTTAATGACATGCACGAGGGTAGGGCTGATTCAGGGCTCATCCTTGAGCTGCCTGCCGTCACCGACCTTGCTCTACGAGCGACGTAGGTGACCGCACGCTCCCTGAGTCAGGTGATGTCCACATAGGTGGTCAGACATCTCTGGCTAACCTGGTTGATGTGCGCGAGGCTGAGTGAATACGTTTCCTCAACTTCCCCATATCCCAGGCTGGCCTCTTCGGCGGCGCGGTTGAGGGCTCTGCCCAACAGTTCTCGGCCGCCCAGAAGTGGACTGTGGCTATTTGTCTGACCCCGCAGCGCTGCTGCCTCCAGCCGCCCGCTCAGACGCCTCAGTCCACTTGCTGCCGAATGCACCCTCCTGCGACTTCTGCCCCCTCCCGCCCGGCCCCCAGCAGCACCGGGCCGTGCCGTGGAGGTGGTCGCAGGAAGGCGCCCCTGCCCGTACCAGCCCCGCAGCCCCGCTAACGCCAGGCTTGCGGCGCTCCCGTTACGGGCAGCTCAGATGTGGGTTGCAGTTCTTCAGGGAGTGGTTGCAGGGCCACTCCTTCCCCCGGTGGAGGGCCGGGGGAGAATCTTTTCTAAACCAAAGAGCTGCATCCCATCTCTGAGCCCTCAGAGGGCGGACGACAGTGCGCGACGCTCCCGGGCCTCGCCGCTCTCGTCCCCCTCTGTCTCTGAGGGCGCGGATGACAGTGTGTGCCGTCTCCGGACCACACCACTCTCGTCCCCCTCTGTCGCCAGACCCCTGGCAGAGCAGACCCCCGTGGAACGCTGGTCCTTCCCTGGTCTCCTCTGTCAGGACGCGGAGCATGACCGTCCCCCCGCACCGGGCCGCTATGCCACCCACGCCTGGGCCGGTCACTCCGCTTCGCTGCCCCTCCGGGGGGACGTCTGTGGTTCGGATGATTCCGCTGGTTCAGTTCTTGGGAGCTTGGTTAGAGGTTCCCAACCTGTCCCGCTGGGTCGCCCGAACTATCAGGCTCGGCTATGCGATCCAATTCGCACGGTCTCCTCCCCGCTTCAGGGTAGTCCGTTTTACTCTGGTCGGTGGCAATGCCCCAATCATGAGAGCGGAGGTTGCCACCCTGCTGGCGAAGGGTGCAATCGAGACTGTCCCTCCAGCCGAAATGAGGTCTGGGTTTTACAGCCCGTACTTCATTGTCCCCAAGAAGACCGGTGGGTTACGGCCAATCCTGGATCTGCGCGTCTTGAGCCACTCCCTTCACAGGCTGCCGTTCAAGATGCTCACGGCCAAACGCATTTTCGAATGCGTGTGGCCACAGGGTTGGTTTGCAGCGATAGACCTGAAGGACGCCTACTTCATGTCTCCATTTTACCTCGACACAGACCGTTCTTCGGTTTGCTTTCGAGGGGCAGGCATACCAGTACGCGTTTCTCCCATTCGGGCTGGCTCTGTCTCCTCGCGTCTTTACGAAGGTCGTCGAGGCAGCCCTTGTTCCCCTACGCGAACACGGGGTTCGCATCCTGAATTATCTCGACGACTGGCTAATATTAGCTCACTCTCGAGATCAGGTTTGCGAACACAGATGTTGTGCTCCGGCACCTAGCCCATCTGGGCCTTCGGGTCAACTGGGAGAAGAGCAAACTCTGCCCCGTGCAGAGGATCTCTTTTCTCGGTATGGAGATCGACTCGGTCGCCATGTCCGCGCAGCTTACGAGCGAGCGCGCACACTCACTGCTGACTTGTCTTCGACAGTTCGAGGACAAGAGTGCGGTCCCACTGAAACTTTTTCAGAGGCTCCTGGGGCATTGGCATCCGCAGCCGCGGCTACGCCACTCGGATTGCTTCATATGAGACCGCTTCAGCTGTGGCTTCGCGATCGGGTCCCGAGGTGGGCATGGCATCGCGGTACGCTCAGAGTTCTAATAACTCCGACCTGCCGTCAGACCTTCACCCCGTGGCGGAACCTCAGCTTTCTACGGGCCGGAGTTCCCCTAGAACGAGTTTCCAGGCATGTTGTTTTCTCCACAGATGCCTCTGCCACGGGCTGGGGCGCCATGTGCAATGGACATGCAGCCGCGGGCTCCTTGACAGGACCCCAGCGCCTCATGCATGTCAATTGCCTCGAGTTGCTGGCAGTACGCCTTGCCCTGCACCGCTTCCACGCGCTGCTCCTGGGTCAACACGTACTTGTCCGTTCGGACAATACTGCGACAGAAGCGTACATCAACCGTCAGGCTGGTCTACGCTCTCGCCGTATGTCGCAACTCGCACGCCACCTCCTCTTATGGAGTCAGAAGCACCTGAGGTCCCTTCGTGCTATTTACATTCCAGGAGAGCGGAACCTTGCAGCCGACGAGCTGTCACGGCTCCGGCCAACCTCTGGCGAATGGTGACTCCATCCCCAGTCGGTCCAGCTGATATGGGACCAGTTCGGGGACGCACAGATAGATCTGTTTGCCTCCCACGACTCATCCCATTGCGCGGCACGGATGCACTGGCGCACAGCTGGCCGCAGGGCCTACGCAAGTATGCGTTCCCCCAGTGAGCCTTCTCGCACGGACTCTGTGCAAGATCAAGGAGGACGAGGAGCAGGTCATTATGGTCGCCCCATACTGGCCCACCAAGACCTGGTTCTCCGAACTGATACTCCTCGCGACAGCACCTCCTTGGCCAATTCCTCTGAGGAAGGACCTCCTTTCTCAGAGACGGGGCACCCTATGGCACCCGGTTTGAGTACCCTGCCACCTGCGGTGGCGGCTACCATCACTTCCGCTAGAGCGTTCTCCATGAGACACGTCTACGCATTGAAGTGGAACCTCTTCGTCAACTGGTGCTCTTCTCGGCGAGAAGACCCCAGGAGATGCTCGACCGGTGTCGTGCTTTCCTTTCTGCAAGACGGGTTGGAGCGAAGGCTGTCTCCCTCCACCCTGAAGGTGTATGTGGCCGCTATCGCCGCATATCACGATGCAGTCGAAGGTAAGTCTCTTGGAAAGCACGACCTGATCATCAGGTTCCTGAGAGGAGCGAGGAGACTGAATCCTCCTCGCCCTCCTCTCGTTCCCTCTTGGGACCTCTCAGTGGTGTTAAATGCCCTGCAGAGGGCTCCTTTTGAGCCTCTGCAATCAGCTGAACTTAAGATCCTGTCAATGAAGACAGCGCTCCTGGTTGCGTTGGCCTCCATCAAGAGGGTAGGGGACCTGTACGCATTCTCCGTTGACGAAGCGTGCCTGGAGTTCGGGCCCGGTCACTCTCAGGTGATCCTGAGACCCCGGCCTGGATATGTGCCCAAGGTTCCCACCACTCCCTTCCGGGACCAGGTGGTGAACCTGCAAGCGCTGCCCCGGGAGGAGGCAGACCCAGCCTTGGCACTGCTCTGTCCAGTACGCGCACTCCGT